CAGTCTCTAATAAATTGTGTTGGAAAAACTGGATTTCAACCTGCCAAAGATTAAAACTAGACCCTTATCTTTCACCATGCACTAAACTAAAATTCAAGTAGATTATAGATCTAAATACTAAAACAGAAACACTAAACTTGCAGGAAGATAAGTAAGGCAGAACTCTCAAAGACATTGACATAGGAAAAGACTTTATGAACAAATCCTCAGTAGCACAGGAACAAGTAGAAAGAATCAACAACTGGAACCTCATCTTATTAAAAATCTTCTGCACTGCAAAAGAAACCACCAACAGAGCTAAGAGACAACCTACAATGTGGGGAAAATTTTTTACCAGATGCTCCTCAGATAAAGGACTATTATCTAGAATATATAAAGATCTCAAAAAATCAGGCCCCCCCAAATATAAACACCTGATTCAAAAATGGGCATCTGAAATGAACAGACGTTTCTCAAAGAAGTAAAAGCAACAAATAAATATATGAAAAAATGTTCCACATCACTGGTCATTCAAGGGGTGCAGATGAAAACAACACTGAGATTCCACCTCACCCCAGAAAGAATGGCTTCTATCATGAAATCAACCAATAACAAATACTGGTGGGGCTGTGGGGAGAAAGGAATCCTTCTCCATTGTTGGTGGGAGTGCAGACTGGTGCAACCACTATGGAAGTCAATATGGAGATACCTCAAAGAGCTGGGATTAGAGGTTCCATTTGACCCAGCCATCCCTCTGCTGGGTATCTTTCCAAAAGAATTAAAAGAATCATACCATAGTGATATATGCTCACCCATGTTTATAGAGGCACATTTTGTTATAGCTAAAACTTGGAAACAGCCCAATTGCCCATCAGACTGGATAAAGAAGATGTGGTTTTTCTATAAAATGGAGTACTTACTCAGCCATACAGAATGAGAAACTAGAGTCATTCATAGGAAAATAGATGCTTATTGAGCCATACTCTTAAGTGAAATAATTAAGACACACCTATGCAAATACCAAATAGTTTCTCTGGTGTGAAAAACTGAAAGTGTAAATAAGATCCAAATTGTATAACTGATAATGTGAAATAGGAAGGCATAGCGGAAGTGGGAAGGGTAGGGGAAAGGAAATAAAGGACAAGAAAAAATATGAGAAAAGGAAAAAAAATGGAAGCAAAGTCTTTGTAAATTGGGGAGGCTGGAGTGGGGGAAAAATGAGAACCAAGACCTGTCATGTAAGGATACAAGATCCCAAGGATGAATGTAACTATACCGTATACTTAAAAAGTACCAATAAACTGAATAAGATTTTAAAAAATGCTGGTGAGGCTGAGGGGAAAAAGGAACCATTCCTCATTGTTGGTAGAAGTGCAAACTCATACAACCATTATGGAACCATTATGGAGATTCCTCAAAAAACTAAAAATAGAAATTCTGTTTGACCCAGCTATTCCTTTTCTAGGTATCTTCCCAAGAGTTAAGGACATTATGCCACAGTGATATATGCATATCCATATTTCTAACAGCACAATTCATAATAGCTAAATTTTGGAAACAGCCTAAATGTTCATCAATAGATGAATAGACATAGAAAATGTGGTATTTTTATGTAATGGAATACTACTCTGCCATAAAGGATAAGCTTGAGTCACCTGTAGGAAAATGGATGCACTTTGAGACTATAAATGTTAAGTGAAATAAATCAGATACACAAGTTTAAATATTGCATGGTTTCTCTTATATGAGAAATGTAATATATAAATAAAGTACAAGATAAAAGATAATAAGAAAGAGAAAGAATAAAAAGTTATTGCAATCCAGAATGGACAATATATCTAAAAGCATACTCTGATTTAGTATAATTGTCTTATATATTTTATATTATTTTTGGCCTATTCACCAGGTTGTTAATTTATGTGTATGATAATTAACCTTATAAGGACTTATAAATGAATCTTATGCTCGTCAAAAAAAGGGAGGAGAAAAAACAAGTGAGGTGTGTTATGTACACGTACCAATCCCCGATCAATGAATGTAGTCATTATGTACTGTGAGCATGTACTGATAAAACATTTTTAAATGGGAAAAAAATTAAAACTTAAGGGAGTTAAAGAAGACAAGTTGTAAAAACAGAACAAAACAAAATCAACCAATTTCAAAAGTATATAGTATCTCTTTTTCTTTCTATTGGTTTTTTGGTTTGATTTGGTTTGGTTCTAGCAGGGGGATCCTGGGGATTGAATCCAGAGCCTAGCACATCCTAGGCAAGCTCTCCACTGCTGAGCTACATCCCCTATACTCAACATACAATCTCTTTATGATTTTTTTTTTGGCAGCAATGGGTTTTGAACCCAGGGCCTTGTGTATTTTAGGAATATCTTACTGATTTTAAGGCAAAATCTGTTAAACCAAATTATGCAAAAAAAGTCATAATGAACAATTTTGATAAAATCAAGTGACAAAAAGAATTAAGATGTGCTATAGACCAAGTCCCCATGATAACTATAATCATTATATACTGTAGAAATGTATTAATAAATATTAAAAGCAACAAAAATTGACTATGAGAAATACTAAAAATTTTTATCTAGCCAGATGTGGTGGTGCATGACTGTAATCCCAGCACTTGGGAGGCTAAGGCAGGAAGATCACTGTGAGTTCAAGGCCAGCCTAGGCTACAAAGCAAGACCCTGTTTCAAAAAAAATTTTTTTTCTATCTAAAAGACTCCTTAAATCAGGGCATGGTGGTGAATATTGGTAGTCCCAGCACTCAATATTGGTAAGCCAGAAGGATCACAAATTTGAGGCAAGCCTGTGTTGCATAGGGAGTTCAAAGCCAGTCTGGACAACATAAGTGAAACCCTGCCTCAAAAAAAAAAAGCAGTATGGAGATACCTCAAAGAACTAGGATTGGAAGTCCCACTTGATCCAGCTATTCGCCTGCTGGGTATCTTCCTTAAATAATTAAAAGAACCATACACAGTGGTACATGTGCACCCATGTTCATAGCAGCACAATTTGTAATACCTAAAACTTGGAAGCAGCCCAATTGTCCATCATCTGGAGACTGGGTAAAGAAAATGTGTTTGTTTGGTTTTTATAAAATAGAATACTATCCAGACATTTATAGCTAAGTGGATGCACATTGAGGCAATACTCTTAACTGATAAATAGGACACATGTGTAAATACCAGAAAGTTTCTCTAGTGTGAGAAGCTGAAAGTGTAAATAAGGACTAAAAGGTATTAACAGATAATGTGAAACAGGAAGAAAAGGGACAAAGAGGAAAGGGAAATGGGAAGGGTAGGGAAAGGAAAGAAGGGAATGGAATCAATATGATAAAATGAAAAATAATGGAAACAAAGTCTTTGTAAACTGGGAGGGAGGGAGGGGTTGGAGGGCAGGGGAATGGGGAAAAAATAAGAACCAAGATTGATTACAATGAATGTCTTATATTGCATACATTAAATGTACCAATAAAAGTGTATATATATATGTGTGTGTGTATATATATATATACACACACACACTATACACACACACACACACACACACATATATATATATATATATATGTGTGTGTGTGTATGTATATATAAACTGGAATCAGGTGTAATGGCACACACCTCTAATCCCAGCACTCAGAAGGCTGAGGCACAAGGATCACATGAGTTCAAGGCCAGCCTGAGCTGTACAGCAAGACCCTGTCTCAATGAATAAATTATATATATTTAACAAGATTAAAATACAAGTAATAGGGAGATGGGTAGAAGACATCTGCAACATGTACAAATGAAATCTACTGGTGTACAGTATCTGTCAAGGACTCCAAGCAATAACAATGATGATGGAGATTAACAACACAACAGAAAAATGTGCACAATTCTCAGAAGAAATCCAAATGATCAATAATGTCTCCAAAATTCTCTCTCTGGTAACTAGGAAAATGCAAATTAAGCTCACAAGGAGATTGATTTCACATATGTAACCTAATAATAACCTAACAGTGTGACCATTTTCAGGGTTGGTGAGAATGCTGAGAAAATAGTTCTGTCATACAGTATAAAATTGACGTGCGCACTTTGGAGAACAACTTGACTGCATCTATTCAAGGTGAAAGTGCATCTCTCGGGCTGGAATATAGTTTCGTGGTAGTGCTTTCTAGCATGATTCATTCCCAGCACCAAAAATGAAAAAACAACCCTAAACAAAAGCACCTATACTCATTGGGAGTAGCTCATTTGTAGAGAGCACTTCCCTGAGATTACAGGGGAAAAGTATCTATACTTTTATTCAGGAAATCTACTTCCAGATATAAGTTAGGCCATAATTTTTTAATCTGTTAGTAAACCATGATGTGTTTTGTCAATCTAGTGATACAGGGGAAATCCACACGCTTTTTGTGAGTAGTACTTCAGAAAGGGTGGCCAGAGAAACTCTTAGAAAAGTAACATTTACGTTGAGATCAAGCTTGGACTTCAATACTTAGCGACAGACACTTTCCCACAAACCTAGTTCGGAGAAATGCCAAAGGAGAAAAGATAAAAGCGTTCAGCAGTTAGTGCGTGCACTGGCCGCCTCCAGGCTGACTGGAAAGTGGATGGCTCGCAGCCTATCCAGCCGCCGCCACTAGGGGGCACAGCCGGCCCTCCCATCACTTAGAGGCACTGGAGACCCAAACTGTCAAAATGACACCCGATACCTAACGGTCCAGGCCTCGATGACCTGGCTACAGGCAGAGGTCAAGGGCAGCGCCGAGAGGTCCTGAGGCCTTAGGGAATCGCGGAGGGCACTAGGCTCCTCAAGGATACTGCGTCCTTAGGATTACAAACCCACACCGGCTGAAGCCCGCACTCCCTCCCGCAGAGCCCATTTCCGGCGTCCGCAAACCGGAAGTATTACCTCGTCCAATCCGGATCCTTCCTCCCTGCTCAGTCTTCGAAACCTTTCCTACAGTATCAATCAGCACTCAGGAAATGCGCATGCGTCGTGGAACATTAAACTTTGACCTGAAGACGACCTATTCCCTTTCCCCACCTCCCTTGTTGGGAAGATGGCGCTGTCCAGGGTGTGCTGGGCTCGGGCTGCTCTGCGGGGTTCGGCTATCACTCTTGCACCTGTTGTCACCCGGAGGCTACAATTTGGTCGCTCTGGCCTTGCTTGGGGAGCCCTTCGGTGAGGGACCTGGAGAGATAAAAGCATTTTGACGTCCAGACCCTCCAGTGGCTCAACCTTGCTTGCTTAATTCTTGGGGTTGCACGCCTTTGCTCGAATTGTTTTCATACTACAGGATTGCGCTCTGATCTCCGCTAAGGAACTGGTTCCTGATCTGTGGACTCTAAGTGCCCCGTGTTGTCTGTTCTCTCCCGCGTGTCCTAAGCTTATTTTTCAGCCTCCTCTTTTCAGTTTAGGTTTTACCGCTATTATCCAGATCCTGCCTCTCCCTCTGGCCTTAGCTTGCAGTGCAGATTCCCCAGGACTTGCACGCTTTTCAGGCTTACACCACTTCCTGACTTCTCTTATTGGTTGTCTTCTGCCAAATCTGTCCCTCTCAATCTGATTGTGTATATCTCCTTGAACCCAGGATCTTCTTGGGATTTCAAGTTTCAAGTCCTATATTCTCTGAGATTTGTATTTTACACTAGAGACCCCAGGTGTGATGGGCCTTCTAGGATTGGTTCCCAGAGAGTCTCTTTGATCTTCCTTGTAGGTCTTCAAAGCTTCACCTTTCTCCAAAGACAGATATGAAGAGCTTGATCTCTTATGTGGTGACCAAGACAAAAGTGCTTAATGGGAAATACCATCGTTTCTTGGGTCGTCATTTCCCCCGCTTCTATGTCCTGTACACAATCTTCATGAAAGGTAAAAAAACAGTTACAATAGAAATCCCTGAATAATTCTGAGCAATGTCAGAGAGTTAGAATAAGTAAGATCTTTTACAGGTTCTGCTGTGGGGGTGTGAGCTGGGATGTCTTCTGTTTCACAAATGTTTATGCATTCAGCTATTTTTTAAAAAATTAGCCATTCTCGAAAATGTTTCTAGAAAAAATGTTGTGAGGGACAACTTTTGACAACACGGGAAGGAGGAGGTTATAGGTTTATCCTTGTACTTTTCTTAATCACACTCCTGGCTGTAGAAGTTCTTGTCCTTACAGCTGCATAGACCTACCCTGTGACTTATGGCCCATAAAAAAATGTGGCCTGATGCTTTTTACAAACCTATCTTAGATATTATGTTGTAGTGGAAATAGCACTACATATATTTGGCTTCTGAATGTTTTGGTTCAAATTAGAGATATCCTAGTTACTGAGAAATTACATACAGAATGTCAAATGTTCACTCGAGCCAGACCGCCTGATTCAAACCTTAGCTTGTCACTTAGTGACTGTGTCACTGAACTAGTAACTTACTTCTCTATCCCTTGAGTTTCATATCTATGATATAAAAATAGTACCTAGGGCCGGGGATTTAGCTCAGTTCCGCCGCCTGCCTTGCAAGCAAGGACCCAAGTTGGATCCCCGGTACCAAAAAAAAAGTAATTCTATAAAAATATATGTTAAATTCTTAGAACAGGGCCTGATCTATAATAGATGCCCAACAATGTTAGCTATTATATGCTATACTTACAACACTATAATAAACCACCACATTGTCAACTCTATTATAGTAATTATTACTAACTTCATGGGCTTGAAAAGTTACCTATTCTTATCTATAAAGTGGAGATAAGAATGGCTGCCTTGTCTGCCCGCAAGGTGTATAACGAGGACCAAATAAGAAGGGTTGGAGAGTATTTTTGTTTTAAAACCTTTAATTATGGGGGAAAAAAACCTTAATTGTGGAAATCTTAAAACATACATAAAAGCAGAATAATTAACTTCTATGTACTCAACATATCATTTCATGGCCACTGATCTTATTTATATGCTTGTTTTCTCTTGTATCATTTTGAAGCTAATCTAGGCATAATTTTGTTCATACATATGCAATAATTTTTTAAAACTAAAGTCCTGAAGAGGGGTTGAAGGGAGGGAGGGGAATAGGGAGGGGAAAAAAAGAAGCAAGATATCCATGTACAGGTAGAAATTCCCTATGATGAATGTTATTCTGTATATCTAAAATGTACCAGTAAAATAAAAAATTAAATCTAAAGTCCTAGATAAATGTAAGACTTTTCATAGAATAAAGATTTTAAATGCAATCATAGAAATATATTGAGTTATACTATCTATAAAAGTGTTTCAGAAAGGAGATATTAGAATCTGGCTGGGGAATATAGGGTTGGTACATGGAGCAAAACTTCCCTATGAGGGTTGGCCATGGTAGCACATTCCTGTAGTCTCAGTTACTTGGGAGGCTGAGGCAGGAGGATCACTTGAGCCCACAGGTTTGAAACCAGTCCGGGTAACATAGTGAAATTCTGTCTATGAGGACAATCAGTCATTCCATAGCAGAAGAACAGAAACCCAGCATAGTTGCAAGAGAGGTAATATGCTGGAAGAAAAAGGGATAGTCAGCCTCAAAAGAATTTCAAGCAACCTAGTTTAAAGCTTTTATCTAATCTTGGGGTGGGACAAGTATGTGTGTATGTGAGTAAATACAGAATAAGAAGTTGTGGTAAGATTCAAACTGGGTAACGGCACACTCTGTCCTCTACTTTAATGAGGCAGGATTACAGATGTTTTGGGCTGATGCCAGAAAAGCTAGAAGAATAAAGACAAATATGTGGAAGCAAAATATAAAGTTTCATCAACTTCCATACCGGGAGATGGAGCATTTGAGACAGGTATGGGCTGGGGGCAGATATGCAGAAGTTCGTGGTGAGGAAATTACAATTAAACAAGGTCTCAGATCTTTTTCTTTCCTTTCATGTTCACCTATGATTATGCTTTTCCCCTTTGCTGGAAGATCAAAGTAGTGAAGTAAATGAGAGCATTTGGTTATTTGTCAAAATTGGGTTCATTCAGAATTGTAGCCCATAGCATAGCCATAGAGTTTCTGGCGTGCTTCCTGAATAAAGTTGTAAGCACTAAAATCCTATTCGTTTCTGTACATATGAAAATCTGTAAAGATCCAAAGGACAGCAGGAATGTAGTATTTGCTAGTGACTTGATGAACAACTTTGAAATTGATAGTAAGTATCTAGGACCAATTCTGCAGTTCAGGAAGAATTCATTTCAGAGATTTGATATGTCAGACCCTATATTAGATATTGTTTAGGATAGAAAAGGGAACAGGCCAGAGGTTGTCTCCTCAAGGACCTTACCATCTAGTAGTAGATAGAAACAAACTTGGTCTTTTTTCTGGGCTATAATAGTTTACTTCCCAGTGGGGTGACAGTATTATCTGTTATAAGAATTTAACGTGTTAAAACTGCATCTGTCTTTATTTCAGTTCCGTCAAGACATCACCAAGTGTCTTTTCTTGGGTATCATTTCAATTCCACCCTTTGCCAACTACCTGGTCTTCTTGCTAATGTAAGTACAGACTTACATCTCCTCAGCATCTGAAGTATGTTTTTACAATTATCTTAAGAATAACTTTTCATTTCAGAAGCTAGGCAGAGTTATTGAACTTCCTGCTCCAATCTTCTCATCATCTGAAGGTTTCATAAAAGCCAGTCCATAACCTTGGTTCCCTGGACACATCAAAATGGTAGCAGTAGGTCTTCTTGCTGCCCAGGGAGATGTGAAGCATGATCTTCTCCATCAATCCTGGAGTCAGCATCTCACTTCCTGAGAGGCATAATAATTTGGGACAAATTTTTTTTCTTCAGGAAAGTAATATATCTCATATTCTGATGCCATGGTTCAATTACTTCATATTCAAAGATGACACTTCTAAACTGTTACATGTTGTTTCAGTTTTATCTTGTATATAACAAATAACCTCAAAACTTAATAGCTTAAAGCAACCCTGATTTTGTGGGTCATGAATTTTGGCATGGCTCAGAAAGGTGATTGCTTTTTCTCACCCATGTGGTGTTGACAGGTTTCTCAGTGGAAGCTGCTGAATGGACTAGTCTGAAGGGTCCAAGGTTGGTGTTATGCCTGGTACCTTGGCAGGGACATCTGGAACACTAGAACTCAACCACAGTGCCTGCATACGGCCTCTTCAAGAGCCTCATGGTAGTAGATCTTCTTATATGGAAGTCAGGGCTCCAAGAGTGAGGGTTCCAGTGAATAAGAATCTGCATGACCTTTGATCACCTTGTCTTGGAGTTCACAGAATCACTTCTGCTCTGTCCTGTTGGTTGACTGAATCACCCAGATGGAAAGAAAGAAGACATAAACCCCACCGGTACTTAGGAGGAATGCCAGACCTGTGGCCATATTTTAAAGCCTCCACACATAATATGATTAAAAACCAAATTTGTTGCCTTTTTCATAGTGTATTCATATAAGGACTGTGCTACAGGTAGGGTGACCACATCACACATAGTGTCCAGCTTTGTAACGCAGTCCAAAAAGTGTTCATGTGCCTCAATTCAAAAGGACTTTTTATCTGATTGCTGCGTGCCAAGCTGTCCTACCACTTACTGCTTCTATTCATACCCCATTTCAGCAGTATTGCTTGAAACTGTGCTTCATTTGGTGTATCTTAAAATGATGGGCTAGATTTTCTTTATTTAAGAAAAAAAACATTGAGGTAGAAAAATAATATCTCCATCCTTTATTTCCTAGTATTCATGTCTGCCAGATACTTGCTTAGCTCACCTGAAAGATAGTTTCCGTAAGTGACTTTGTGATTCTTTTTCCTTTTAGGTACTTGTTTCCTAGGCAACTACTGATCAAACATTTTTGGACCCCCAAACAACAAATTGATTTCTTAGATATCTATCATGCTCTCCGGAAGCAGTCCCACTCAGAAATCATTAGTCATTTAGAAAGGGTCAGCCCTCTCATTTCTGACGCAGGGCTCCGGTGGCATCTGACAGAACTATGCACCAAGGTATTTCTCCAGTTAACCTTCCTGAAAACCAGGACTCTTGTTAGATCCAGTGTGCACTAAAACTAGGAAGGAGGGCTATTGTAACCTTCCTAATATGTACCAATCTCTTACCTCTCCCAAGATACAGAATGGTACCCACCCAGCAGTACAAGACATCCTGACTCTCAGAGAGTGTTTCTGTAACCACCCTCTGGGCATAAACCAACTCAAGGCTTTGCAGATGGTGAGCACTTTGAGATTTTCTCTTTCCTACAGACTCATTCTATTTCAGATCTTTGAGGTAATACTATTTGACTTTCTCCTGTTCTGCTATCATAGAAAGCCTTGAGCAGGGCCATGCTTCTCACACCTTACCTGCCTCCTCCCTTGTTGAGACATCGTTTGAAGACACATACCACTGTGATTCACCAGCTGGACAGGGCTTTGGCAAAACTGGGGATTGGCCAGCTCACTGCTCAGGAAGTGAAATCAGTAAGTGCTTAATTGAAGTATCAAGCAGTATCCCAGTGGCCTGGAAGCTTACGATGGCTCCTTGTCTTGTTATATCAAAACCCAAGATCTTTATTCTTTCAGTTTATCTCCTCTCTTTTTTTTTTCCCCACAGTGTATTAAACTAGTGGGAAGGAACTGCCACTGTAATTTTATTTTGTATTCTAGCATTTCAAAAATCAAGGGTACTACACTTTTTCAAAAAAACTATTATTTTGAGACAGGGTTCTCACTAAGTTGCCTGGGCTGCCCTAGAACTTGTGATCCTCCTGCCTTGGCCTCCTAAGTAGTTGGACAACGTTGCACTTTAGACCTCCTATTTTTGATTGTATAGCCGTTACTATAACCGTACCTCAGATTAAGTGACTTAAAAAGATTTACTTTGGCTCACCATTTCGGAGGTTTCAGTCTGTGATCAGTTAGCTTCTGATAAGAAGATCTACTGATCAGTTAGCAGCACATCATGGCAGGAAGTGCGTGGGGGAATAGAGCTGCTTATTCATGACAACCAGGAAACCAAAGGGAGACTGGGAGAAGTATCCCATGGTGCACACCCCATTGACAAGAAAGTTCCTCAGGAGACTTCACCTCTTAAAAGTTTCTGCTTCCTCCTAGTAGCATATGGAGGGGTCTAAGCCTTTAACACATGGACCGTTGGGGAACATTTAAGATCCAAGTGATAGCACAATGCTTCTTTACTTTTTCTCATAATCATCATTAGTTCAGATTCTCATGGTGAAAGGTTTCATATGAGCATGAAGTTTGTAACTAATTTAAAGGAAATCTAGAGTTATTTATGTATTTCCAATTCCTTGGCATACTCACTGCATAATTATTCAGGACCATTTCTCTTCTGAATACTACAGGCTTGCTATCTCCGTGGCCTGAATTCTAACCATATTGCTGAAGACAGGTGTCGAACTTGGCTGGGGGAATGGCTACAGATTTCCTGCAGCCTGAAAGGTAAGACACATTTCTATGGTTATGCCACTGAAAGCTAAGTCATTTTTGTATTTTACTCTGATTATTTTGTAGTTATTGAGTACTGTGAGGCCTTTATCTAACATATGGGTCTACTTGAAAGGGCACAAATTCCCATGCCTACTCCATGCCTAGGCAGGTAATGAAGGAGACTGTGTAAGACAAGCGATAGTGGTAGTCATGAGGATACTGGAGGGCATGTTAATCTGAAGCAGTCTGTCGGCCTTGACACCACTGACATTTGTGGGGGGAGGGGGGGCTACCTGTACATTATAAGATGGTTAGCCATGTCCCTGGCCTCTACCGACTAGATGCCACAGAACCAACAAAGATATCTCGACATTGTCAAATGTTCCTGGTGTTAGAAGAGTAAAGGAACAGGCAGAACTGTCCCAGTTGAGAAGCACTAATCTAAAGACATTACACTTCAAACAAAAATACTGTACTGGCTGCAAGAAAGTTATCTTGAGGGTAGATATTAAGCCTTTTGGTCTCCTGTTTGGAACCTCTGGCTAAGTCTTGGATGTTTTCTGGGCCTTTAGATATCAGAGTAAATCTACTAATCTTGAAGCTGAGAAAGTCCCTAAAATTCCAAATTCTACCAGAAGAATCTCAAAGCGACAAGTGTTTAGAACCATCGCCACCTCTGAGTTTTCCGCTTCCATGAGAATTAAGAACAAGAGATTACTTTATATAAATAGTGGGAGCATAAGCAAGCCTGTGTGCAGGGGCTAAAATGAGGCAGGGAACTCTGAGAAGAGTAGCCTCTTAATGCCACATTAACTGCTACTTGGCTTGCTGCGTTTCAGTTCGTATACCTGCAGGCAGTTAGAAGTCAAACTGTTCGCCAGCCAAACCACTAACACTGACGTTGTTTTCAGAAACCGAGCTGTCCCTCTTGCTGCACAACGTGGTCCTGCTTTCCACCAACTACCTTGGGACAAGGCGCTGAGTGAACCATGGAATGGACGGCACTGTCCTGCAGTCATAGAATGTAGCAGTGTGGGACCAAACACCATTTGTCTGCACTCTGTGTGCACGGTTAGGTGTGCAGGAGGCCGAGGAGCAGGTGCCACGGGCTTCGAAGTCATCACCCTTGTGGGAACTAGACATTCCGCTCACAGCTCAAACTAGAGCCCTTTCCAAGGCTGGTCCGTGTGAGCTGTCACTTGTCTCCCTCATATTAAGCTGGAGTTGGCAGCAACCTCTGTACTAGGCTTTTGTCATGATGTCTCTTCTGGGTCCCTACATAGTATTTTGCCCTGGGGGAAATATTTCACCTAAGACTCATCAGCTCTCATGTTCTTTATAACTGGTGAATTTTTTAAAAGAATTTCCAGCTGGTGCGAACATTCCTAGTGAAGCTGGATCATTTATATCCATGCATGTACTTAACTTCAGTACTCCTTTGCTTTTTTTTTTTTTGGCACTGGAGATCCAATTCAAGACCTTCTGGTTGTCAGACAGTCACAGTGCCACTGAGCTATCTCCCTGGCCCACCTTTGCCTCATTTCTGATGTGACCAAAAGTAGCATTTTTTTTGGTCCTCAATGGCATGGGTTAACTACTCCTTTTCCTTTTAAATTCCTTTGAACATTTTTTTAAAAAAGGACTTACTGGAACATTCTGAAGGGAATGATTTAAAAGAAAGTGCTGCTTGACTGCTTCCCCAAGGTTTACAGCCTTCACTCCCACATTGTCTTAACTTCGGGGCTGTTGGACAGCCCCTAAGGGTCTTCAGTTCTTTGCTACCTCCACTGTGTTGCAGAATCCAACTGTAACTGACAGTGGCTTCTTTGGGCCATGGGTCAAAACCTTAAGGTACTGATTACTGTCCTTGAAGACCAGGAGAGATCTACATCAAGACAGTAAGTTGGACGTGGCTTGTGTGTGTACCACTGTGATTTGTAGCTCTGTAATAACTTATTGTAATGCATGAAGCACTGTTTTTAAACCCAAGTAAAGACCACCTGAAACCATCTGATGATTACTTACATACACTCTAATCATTTTGCTAAGGCTCCTTTTATAAGACTGACATAGAGAATTAATAATAGATTATTAATAACAGACACTTAATTGGCTGGAATAGAACTTTCTGATGGGATGAAAGAAGTTTTGAAGAAACTGATTTGATCTCGTGGACATTTTAAGGTGGTAATCAGAAATAGAGAAAAGGGACTACAGGCATAGCCCTAAGAGGGCAGGAGCCAGATCTGCTCCAGCTGAAGAGGTACATATGAGCAGGTAAGGCAGGCTCTTGGTGCTCCAAAGAGAAGATTCTACACTCCCATCACAACATGTTCCCATTGTTAATTAGCATTAAAATTCCTAATTGACCTAAATGGTTCCAGTCAATTAGGAACTAAAGCATCCTTTCTCTAACAAGTACTGTGACCTGCCAAGATAAATAACACATCATTCTTTTGAATATTTCTTTAATATTACATTTAAATATTCTCTTTAAATACGGCATTATCACAATGTAAAGAACCTAAAGGGGAAAAAATTATTTTCAGAGAACCAGACAAGCTTTGGATTCACATTGAAAATACTACCTGTGTATACAGTATGTGAGAAAGGTGGTAATAAGCTTCATTTATCTAGGCCTAGACCGAGTGGGCCTCAAGTGATCCATTTCTATGGTCAGAGGTCTACCTTTCCTAGCAACCATAAGCTATCATTTTGTCCAATTTAGGTAGCACCAGAAATGAGATGGACTAGGTTGTAGAAAAGGCCCTTTGCTTGACAAGAGTTAATGCTAAATGCTAACGTTTAGCATTCAGAAGTTTGGAGTTAATGCATCCTAACTGTAGTTAGTGAAGGGATGGGCTCAGAAAGTGGAGTTTTGCAGAAATATCAAATATCTTGTGGGTTGGCAATGAGTTTAATAATTACAAATTTAAATTCATTTGATCCCAAAGGCTAATGTCTTTCTTATTGAGCAGTTGGAAACTGCCCACTAAATTAAGCTGGAGCCTCAGAAGGAGAGATTTTTTTAAAGCTTCCTTTTTCTTCCAACACATTTTCAAAGTCTTTTCTCCGTGGAGCTGAATTCAGAGGGAAGCTTCAATCTTGTATTTGAGTCCCCATTCAAGGAGGGGGAGCGCGGCTTAGTTTGGAAGAGTATCTAAAGCTCAGGTACTGAAGACCCTCAACTCTGTTTTATGAGGCTGGGGGATGGGGAGAGACACAGACCTATGCACCTAATTAAGAACTCCCTTCCTAACATAAAACCAAACAAAAACAGGAATGAACAGGAAAGGCGGAATGGATTAAAACATGTATCTGTATTAATTACAAAGCCCTTGAGGCTCAGATTTTATAGGTGAAATGCTGCTGACAAATACAAAAAGGTTGCTTTAAGACACCAGAGTCTTAACTATCCCATAAGAAAAGGGTTTATGGACAAATAGGAAGGAACAGTTATCGCCCTACCAAAAAAGTTTTTACTCTTTTCATTCCTGGTTAATAAATCACAACCAGAAGTGAAACATGGTATATGCTAGAGAATATGTTTTTCTACCTGCTGTGTCCATTTTAAAACAGAGGCAAAGATAAACTGAGGCAATAAAAAGAAATCAGTGGCGTTCAGTGAAGCAGATCTTGAAACATAAGCTAGATATAAGAGGACAGGAACCAGTGACAAAGGTAAGGACAGAATTTGAGTCCCATCCTATACACTTCCAAGGTTACAATCAGATCATGAATCCTTTGGAACTTGGGAATTGTGTGTGGCACTTAAGAATTGGTTTGTCTCCCGATGTCTATGTGCCAAGATGAAGGTCGTCTAGTAAGTATGTGCAATTCTTGGAGTTGAACTGGAATAGTATAAGAACTCTAACCCTGTATATCCAAGAAGGACCATGAAGATAGATACAGGAAAAAAGAATTAAAAAACTAGTATATGTCCTTAGATTACCACATCTTACCTTCCATTTAAAGCTCAGATCTTGGGGGGAGGGGCTGGGTGAAAAAGCAAACATCACACAATCAAGTCATCTCTCCAGACAGCAGGCTGTTCCGATGGCCTCCTTTGGACATAGTTAATGCTCTGTATGGGCTCCTGTGAGAAGGGTGAGACCTGCCCGAAGCCACCCAACAGAGCTAGTGTTAGATACAAGCAAAAGCCTCGGGCTCTTTATACCACATCCCCAGCCAAGTTAGCTCCTTTTCTTCAAAGGAAAAATTGATGGGAGAAAAAGAAGACAGACAAGTTAAACTCTAGTACCTAAAAGTATGTGAAAGAAGTACAGTAATTCAAGTTACAGACCAGGAATCCCCAGTGTGGGGAGCTGGTCAGAGAACACCAAACATGTCAAATATTAACTTATTTACCAAACAGGGGTCAGAGAAAGGCAGGTTAAATTTTTAGAAATTCTGGAGGTTCTGTATAGAAGCAGAAACCCTTCTAACCCCTCCTCTCTAGATCCTGCCAGGCGATCTTTGCGACTGTATGATGACACACCAAGACGGAGTATTAGAATAACCAGAGACAAATGAGCTCGAACCTCCCTGGAGCCCAGGAGAGCAAGGGCTTTGCCATACTGTTCAGATTCTTGTGTTTTGGTCCCTAAAGAATAGCTGCTTGAATTACCCAGCTCCTCCTGTGAGATCCTACTTCTTTGTTCTGATGGCCCAGAAAGCTCAGTATCAGGCACTGTGCAGCTGCCTTTAAGACTCTATCCCCAGGTCAAGCTGGAGCTGTTCTCCTTGGTTACTGTTTCCCTTTTAAAAAATACTTGTACAAACAATCCTTTCCCACCCATTTCCCCCAAAGACCCCAATAAAATAACATGGGAGCAGCAGCTGCTTCTACAGTCTTGAAGTGGCATTAGATAAAATAAGGGAATAAATAGAAAGTGGGGAGAGGCCCTATCTCTTCCCCACTGTCACACCACCATAGGAAGTTCTAGGGCGGACTCTTCAGGGGGCCGGTCCTCTCTCTGCTGGGAACTCTTCTCCACCCCACATCCCTCTTCATTGTCCGTGCGGAAGGGGAGGCTTGAGGGGGACCAAGAGGGGTGGAAGTCTTCATTCTCAGGCTCCTCAGGGTTACAATCTTCTGGCAACAGCGCTTCTAAGGTGGGGGTTTTCCCCACTTCTGATTTACAGAGGCCAGCTGGGTCTGTGGGGCTGCAAGCCACCAGTGAGGTAACGGGGAGAGAGAAGACGTTTAGATCCTTCTCCTTGGGGAAAGTGGCTGTGCCTTCTTCCGTACCAGCCTCTCCTTTCACTCCCAGCACTGACCTCTGCTCCACCTGGTAGTACACCAGGGGCCCACTGTTCAAGTAGGATGGGCTATTCACTGTTGAAGCCGACGGGTGGTCCGAGTTCTCAGCAAAACACAGGACGGAGGAGCCTGGGGGTAGTTGCGCCTGAATGAGAATGGGAGCAGTGAGGCCTGGGCAAAGCTCTTCAGGAACAGCCAGTGGCTCCTCCAGGATGCACACACCCAGGCTCTCCATGCTCGAGTCCAGGCTGGCACTGGAACCACTGGAATCCTCCTCGGCCTTCAGCCTCTCCAGTTCCTCAGCGCTCTGCAGGTGCATCACTGCAGTCTCATTCTCAGCAAGGAACTCCTGGAAGTCCTGTGTCTCAGAGCCCTGGGCTCCTGTCAGGCTGCAACCAGTGGCAGGTGAGGGTTCCTCCTCTGGGGCTGCTGGGCGGCTCACCTGCCGCTTGCTCTCCAGCTCCAGCTTCATGATGGTGTGGAGGTAATGAGTCCGGACTCGGATTGGATTAAACTCAATGCGCCCGGCCATGTTCCCACAGCCATCCCTGGAGCAGCCACATGGAAAGGACATGCGATCCACCTAAGCGGGGACAAGGAGGTTGAGGCAGAGGAGACTGTTGGATCCAACAGTGGAAAAAGACACATCAACTGGCAAACACAGGCAGCTGGGAACTGAGGTCTTACAAGAAAAGAAGCAACTAATTCAAAACATAATACGCAAATGAAGTTAACTGAGCACTAGATGGTAGTTACAGGTCACTTGCATTTGGATTCCAGCTTAGCCAGCCACTGATTAGTGGCGTAACCTCAAGAGTCATTTACTTGTCTTTTAAGTAAAAAGTAGACAAAAATCACAAAAAAAGCTCCTTACAGTAAGACAGTGCTGAGACGCCTCTCTGAATGCTGACAGTTCTCAGAGAAGAAATCTGTGTACCTTGGGACTTCCAGAACTTACCTGGTTCAATGAGATAACAAAAGACTGGGACCAGGCCTTCGGCCTTCTGCAATGAGCGGTGTGGGACAGTGAGTGGAAGATCTACTCATTCAAAACAATACACTGAAGGAACTAAGCAAATGCACCTTAGCTTGCCAAGGGGCTAAAATGAAGGTTCAAACCATGGACCGCATTTCCCTACCTGCTTTATTTTTTCCCTGAAAATTTAACTAATTTATTTCTGAAACAGTAACCAAGATAATTAACTTACAGACCAGGGATATTTGGAAAGGAGATGCTTTCTACCTTATCTCCCCTTCATATCCAAAATGAAGGGCTAAAAACCCAAAAACTAAACATTAAAAACCCGAGTAAGCAAAAAAGCATGTATGTACACTCAAGAGTCTTTCTAAAACTGTTCTCAGACTGATTCATTATGGAACTTAAACATGAAAGGCACCTTTTGGCTCAATCTGCTGTAACTATTTGTTACTTGCCTAAAAATAAGGAAGGAAAAGTTGGTAGGAAAAGTTGAACCATAAGGACTCAGCATCCATATTCCCACAAGTTCCAGCCAGATAAATTTCATTCTCTAGGATGGTACTGCTATTTTCTTTTTCTTTTCTTTTTTTTTTTTTTTTTTTTTTTTTTGTTACTATGGTCCTTGTGCTTGCAAGGCAGGCCACCGAACCGCTGAGCTAAATCCCTGGCTGGTACTGCTATTTTCTATCAAAATGTCTAAATTGCCCCTTGCCAGAAGGCAGAGAGATGCTAATTTTCTGTCATAAAACTCAGGTGTTAAGTTCTGCTAGCCCAGATCTTAACTTACAGAATCTCAACACCATTTCGATTTTTACAAAATTGGAGTAGAACTATGAGGATTCACAGATAGAACCTACAGGCCTACCTCCTTTCTCTGCTTCTTTTTATCTCAAGACATCTGTCAGTATTAAGGGACAGTTACTAAAGGGTAAATATACTGAACCCTGTTTTTCCATTTGCTAACAGCTACTTTATCTCACCTGAGGTAGGAAAGAGAAAAAGATAATAGGTACCTCCACAGCCTAAGAATCTTGTCATGCTTGTTCTCTTTCTTGGTGGGTAAGAGCTGTGGAACTGGAGCATGTTTACAAATAGGGACTCCATCTCTCTGGATGGGCAGTCCCCCACCTTCACTGGTACTCACACCACACACCCTGACCCTGCAGTAGATACACTACCCAGCCAACTTTGACTGACCTGGCATTTAATCCCAGCCTGGCTACAGGCACAAGCCTCTGGGTCACAATACAGTCGACAATCACAACCACACTCTTCTCGAGAAAGGCGGATGGCTCGAAGTTCTTGCTTTTCTTCAGCATCAATTCGGTGGACCCCAGAAGCCCTCAATAGGGCCCGCCTCCGTTTGGTGGGCAGAGGCTGCAGGAAGAAGTAATCATCTACCTCCACATTTTCCACATCAATATCTTCATCTGAAACGTCATCCAGCGTCAGGCCATCAGCCTCCACCGACTCCACTGTCCCATTCTTGGTCAGCTGCCAAAAGATGGAAAGGTCAGCCTTGGGGGAAATAGCAACACAAACCTCACAGTGAGTGGCACTGTATGTTGAACTTGTGCAGCAAGGGGAAAGATCTATGCTCCCCACACAGAAGCCACTCTCAATGCAGCTGCTGAACTCCAGAACATGGAAACTAAAAAGCAGAGGGAGCTTCTGTGTGTGTGCTGAGGGGAACACTGGGGATTGAAACAAGGCCTTTGCACTGAGCTACATCTAAAATCCCCCAACCCCCTTTTGGGACACAGTCTCACTAAGCTGTCCAGGCTGAGCTTGAACTGGGGAAGCACCTGCCTCAGCCTCCCAAAGTGCTGAGATTACAGGTGTGTATCACCATGCCCAGCTGAAAAACTGAGTTTTTAATTTTAAATTTAATAGCCACATGTACATTTAGTAGCTACAGACTGGTCAAGAGAATAAAAGCAGAAAGACAGAAAAACTTATGTGGCCCTACCATCATCCTGCCAAAACAAAAGACATCTTTCTGCGTCCAAGTTTCTCAAAAACCTGTCTCATCTTCCATCCTAAAAGATAACCTATTCCTTCAAACATTCCCTCCAATCCCAGACACTTCCCCTGACTTTGGTTCATTTGCTTTCTAACATGGGTGGAGAAGGTATATTACTGGCTGGATGTTCCTGGGAAATATAGATAAGCTCATTAAACACTCTTTGATTTGTATCTCAGAGAATCTAAAATCACCTTCTTTCTAAGGAAGGGTACATTAAAGTGTGGTGCCAGGCTACTAGGTCCTTGTCAATGAATCTGAGTCCCCACAGAGAACAATTATCAGTGAATGCTAAGAAGAGCTACATTTTACTGGTAGAAGCAAATTATTATTAGCTGTCCGAGAAAACCCTCACTTGTAGCTCAGGATCTAGAATAATGTACTCTTTCTCCTTTCTAAGCCATTTTTGACTTTAAAGAAAAGCTCCATGTGTGAGGTAGGATGGTATAAATAATACTGAGTATGCGACCGATGGGCAATAATCTGGATTTTCTGTGCTGATACAGACAGAGCCAGGAAAGGGCATGTGCGTGGAAGGACAGACTGAAGACAATCTGTAGCTGAATGAGTTCTGCAAACTCATTCATTGGATTGCTGAAGAATCCAAGCAAAGAAAACGGAGCCTCACGTTCCCTGGAGCTCTGCATGTTGCCAGCAAGATGGAAGCCGAGTGACTAGAGTGTTTGGTTTATTTCATCAGAAACCCAGAGAGTAGTGCTGGGAAAGGAACAATTCCTGGGAGACATGTGATGCAACAGGCTGGAGTAGGAAGCCACACACCTGGGTGGTTTGGGGCAGGGGTGAGAGATGGGGAGAAAAGTAACGTGGGACTTCCGGGGATTCCCCAGCCTATCACTTCTATACCAGGCAGGCCACTACAAGAGGTTTTTAGGCTTGCTCCTGTCTCTGCCTCAAGGGTTGGCCTCCTCTTAAGCACCCTCCCTCCTGTTAACCTCTCAAAGGAAAGAGATTAGAGATGCAACAGAAAGAAACCTGTGTTTAAGGTGAGAGAATTTAGTATCACAGAAACGGCATTTCAAGTCAGTGAGAAGTCTTTTAGACATTAAATGGTACTGGATGCTGAGGCAGGAGGATCACTGTGAGTTTGAGGCCAGCCTAGGCTACAAAGTGAGACCCTGTCTCAAAAAACAAAAACAAAAAAAAGGTATTGAGAGAACTGAATTCTTTGGGAAAGAAAAGTTGACTCCTAAGTCATTCATAATAATGGATTCCACATAGACAATGGTTTTTTCTGGGGGGCGGGGTTTGAGACAGGTTCTCACTGTAGTTGAGATTGACCTGGAACTCACTCTGTAGCCCAGGCTGATCTTGAACTCACAGCGATCCTCCTGCCTCAACCTCCCGAGTGCTCGGATTACAGGCGTGCACCACCACACCTGGCCACATAGACAATGTTTTAATGCAAACATTAAAATAAAAATAATTTAAAATGTAGGCAACTAAAGCTGCAAAGCTCTAAAGAATGATTGGAACAGCCTAAAAGGAAAACAAACATTAGATAACATATCAAACATTAGATAACACATATTTTTTAGATCAACTGCCTCCCTTATAGAGTGTAAAAAGGGAAACCTTTCAAAAAGAGGATATGGATCTGGGCAAGGTAAAGCAAGGGTTTTCTTTTGACATGCAAAGATCTTTAGATGCCACCACTGGTGGTGCTCACTAAACATTCTGCTAATAAGTAGAAATCTTTTATCTCACTCTTTGGTTTGTCTGGCTTTGCCTCTAGAATTCCTATAAGGAGGAGAGGACACAACAGAATGGTGTCCTGTTTTGACAGATCATTTCTTTACCAGTTAGGACTCAGAAGTTCTCTTCTAGGAAAAGGGAAGGTCCTTTAGCACTGATAAGAGTGTTTATTTGCTTAGTTGTTGCTATAGCAGCAGGAAGGTGACAGGGTCAATGACAGAATTCCTCAGACTCAAGTCAGGGAAGCTTGGACATTCTAGTTAGAAAAACAGGTGGAGGCTTTAGAAACAGGCTGAGGGAAGCAGACAAAAGCTCTCAAAGAGGCAAAGAGTTAAGATCTAGTTTTCCTACACCCCTGCCATCAGTTCTGCTATTCTACCGCACCCTGGTGAGTATCACCCTCAACCCTGGAAATAACACACCTCTTTTAATACAGGTCAGCATGCTTCGGGCTCATCACAAACCTGAGAGAAATTTTTTTTGTGCAGTGTGAGAGATCAAACCCAGGGCCTCCTGCACACTAGATAAGTGCTCTACCACTGAGCTACATCCCCAGCCCTGGGGTAATTTCTGAGGACTAGTGGAAAACTGTGGTCTTAAAGCATCCAAACAGTGCTAAGAAGGATAGCGCGTGGTGGCTATCAAGAACCACCTGAGGGTTAGGGGCATAGCTCAATGGTAAAGCACTTGCCTAGCCTGCATGAGGCCCTGGGTTCTACCTCAGGAGGGAGGGAGGGAGGGAGAAAGGAAGAAAGAAATAAGCTATCTAAGCTGGGTGTTCTTCCAGCCCCTTTCTCCTAACCTAAAAAGCCAGTACTTTATTAGATGGTAGGCATAGTATTGTACAAAGCTAAATAACTATGTGATAACGCTGCTGTTTGGACAGAGAAGACTGTCATCTATAGTTGATGGAGATGACAGAAATGGAAGGATCCTTTCAGAGTGTGAAAGTTCCCAAACCTGTTCTATGCATTCAGGCAAAGGAGAATTTGTTTTTTTTCAGTACTAGGGATTGAACCCAGAACCCTGCACATGCCAGGCAAGCACTCTACTACTGAACTGTATCTCCAGCCCTTTTTAAAATTTCATTTTGAGTCAGAGTCTCATTAAGTTGCCCAAGCTGGTCTTGAATTAAAAACCCTCCTTCCTCAGCCTCCTGAGTAGCTGGAATTATAGGCAGGTCCTACCACACCGAACTGGGACAATCATCTGACAAGAAATTGTGCTTCTTTAGGTTCCAAGTAACAGATCTAAAAGGCTTCAAGTATTATGGTTTAATTTTAAAAATTTGTTGAGGGACAAGGGGGTTAGGAGGAAGAATTCTAGAGAAGGTATTTTTCTATCTCTGGTAAATATCTCCTCCTAAGACAAAAAAAGAGAGGCTCAGACTGAGATTTGATTCCCACTCCAAGATTTCTTATTAGAAAGATATGGAATCTCTACATGCCAAGGATAATCGTCTAATCAAAAATCAATGGACCTAGGGCTGGGGATTTAGCTCAGTGGTTCCACTGCCTGCCTTGCAAGTGCAAGGAACTGAGTTCAATCCCAGTACCAAAAAAAAAAAAAAAAAAATCAATGGACCTAGCAGATGTGGTGGTGCAGGCCTATAAATCTAGCATTCAGGAAGCTGAGGCAAGGGGATTGAAAGTTTGAGAGACCTAGCAGGTGGTGGTGCAGGCCTATAAATCTAGCATTCAGGAAGCTGAGGCAAGGGGATTGAAAGTTTGAGGCCAGCCTGGGCCACATAGTAAGTTCAAAGTGGGTTGCACTACATAGTGAGACTCTCTCAAAATGAGCCTAAATCATTTCCTACTTTGTCTTAACATTCAGGAAGAACCAGAGGCCCCAGACCCCTTGGGCACCTTCATTTTCTTTGCATGAAGTTTCTCCTCCTTCAGGTGCTCACGAAGAATCTCTCGATGGTTCACTTCCTGCTCTTGGGCAAACTCACAGAGTGTGTAGCTGCGTACAGAGTTATGGCGCTGGGCCATGCCCAGAGAGCTACCACCTTGGCTGGGCACGCTGGTGAAGCCCTGGCGTCTGGCGAAGTAGTACACAGTCACCTGGTCAAAGCGTACATTCTTCCTCCGAAGCTGCTTCTGCCGCTTCAGGATGGATGTGGCTAAGAAAGGAGAAGAGATGGAGGTTATTATTAACCCAGATATTGGCTTTTTTTTTTTTTTTAACCTATCCTGGCTCTAAACTTTTCAGCTCCAAATGTATTCTCTATTCCTAGAGAACTTTCTAATATTTTTGAATCATAAATGCACAGTTGGAAGAGGCCTCCCCCCTCTGCCCTTTCTGTTTTGTGGACAGGGTCTCACTGTGTAGCCCAGGCTACCCTCGAATTCACAATCCATCTGCCTTAGCTTCACGAGCGCTGTGATTACAGACATGCGCCACCACATCCAGCTGGAAGGAGCCTTGAACCTCAGCTGCTTATCACAGCTTCCAGATTGACTTCACCTACACAGATGACCACAAAATCTACTTTTAGACAGCAGATGGAAGGAGAATTGTTAGGTGATCTTTCAGGATATAATAATCTGCAGCTTCACTGGCCACATGTGGCAATTTAAGTTAATTAAAATTAAATACATTTTTAAAATCAGGTCCTCAGTTGCACTGACCATATTCCAAAGCTTAGGAGCCACACACAGCTACTGGACAATGCAGAAAATTCTATTTGATAGGATTGATCTACAGCAGGGAATGGTAAACTTTTTCCCACAAGGGCCAGGTAGTAAACATTTTAGGATGTATAGGTCATGAGGTCTCTGGTGAACTACTCCACTGTGCTGCCATAGTATGAAAGTAATCAGACAATGGATTAAGTGTGCTCCAATGAAACATATTTACCAAACCAGGCAGTGGTCCAGATTTGGCCCATGGACAACCCCTGATCAAAGGTATCAGAAGTTCTTTCCAAGCCAGGTGTGGTGGCGCACGCCTGTAATCTCAGCTGAGGCAGGAGGATCACTGTGAGTTTGAGACCAGCCTGGGCTACACAGTAAGTTACAGGTCAGTCTCAACTACATAGTGAGACCCTGTCTAAAATAAACAAAAAGAAGTTCTTTCCAAGAACTAACTAAGCCATAAGAATTAAAAAATCCAGCCAGGCATGGTGTTGCATGCCTGTAATCCCAGCACTCTAGAGGCTGAATTAGGAGGATCCCTGAGTTTGACGGTAGCCTAGATTACATAGTAAATTCAAAGCCAGCCTGAACTACATAGCAAAAGTGCATCTCCAAAAAAAACCAAAAACAACAAAAAAACCAAACCAAGACAAAAAGAATATTAAAATTAAGGGTGGGCATGGTGGCATATTGCTGTAACCCCAGCACTGGGGAGGCTGAAGGAGGAGAATCTCAATCAAATTCAAGACCCTATCTCAAATAAAATAAAAATGAATTAAGAAATCTGCCAGGCGTGGGGGGCACATGTCTATAATCCCAGCACTCGGGCTGCAGCACGAGAACTGCTCCAAGTTCAAGGCCAGTCTGGGCTACATATAAAAAGCCTATCACAAAAAAAGCAAAACAAACAAAAAAAACCTGGAGGTGTCATGACTGTCTAGGGACTAAGCATTTATGTCCTGCATATAGTTCCAATTTCCAGAAAATCCATGGAAATCTGCTAGGGGAAGGTAAGTCCTGAATTCCTTCTTCTTCAAGCTACTACAACCCATTCTGGGGCCCAAGAGTCACAAGATGTGTAGCATCAGCTAGAATAAATCAGGCTTGAGTCAAGCATATGAGAGCAGTGAGGTCCTCTAAAGAGCAAGGGAAGATACGGGTGAATCTGCAAGCTGGCAGAAGTTGTCCAAGAGCAGCAAAGGACTCTCTTATGTGGGGAGTGTGGGTGCAGACAGGAGGGAGTGGCTCACTCACGTGTGAAGCTGGCCGTGGTAGGAGGATTGAGGCTGTCGCAGCTGTCAGCACTGTCACTGCTAGAGATCTCATCATCTGAGTTGGAAACTGATGAGCCCACATCCACATCATCAAACTTCCTCTTGAGACCAGAGCCCGTGAATGCATCCATTGGTTTCAAAGGGTTTTCTTGGGAAGCCGACCACATTGGCCCCAAAGCCCCCGCTCACCAGCAGCTAGCCAGGTGCATTAGGATTCTGCCCAGGGGAAAAGAGGAATCAGCACTGGTGTCCTAAGGCAGGACCCCTGCCCCAGGCCATACACTTACTTGGCTTTCTATTTCAACAATGATAGTACCCGGCCTAGCACTGATGTCTGATCTCTCAAGATCAGGTCACTTCTCTCTACTGATTCTAGCCAAAATTCTCCTACTTTTACTTCCTCTCAGTTCCCTCAGGCTTAGTTACTCTGAACAATGAGATGCGTAGCTGAGCAGCAGCACCTTTCCCAGTGGAGGAAAGGCCTCTGGTTCCAGTCCAGCTGGGCTTACGCTTCATTAGCCCAGGGTAAGAGCTGCTCTCTTCTGATCACACAGGAGAGATCTCCAAGGGACCAGTGGGAAGAACTGGGGACCAAAGGCAGAATTAGGTTTTGCCTACCCTAAGACGACCCAAAGATTTTTTTCCCTGTCAGAAAATAGTATGGCATTTCCCAAAGTGTGTGTCTTGCTAAATACACTAGTTCTATGGATATTAATAACCTTTACATGGAAATAGGACATTGTGTCAAGTTAGTTTGGGAAACTACTTGTACCTGGACACAGTGGTGCCCAACTGAGGCAGGGAATCACAAGTTCAATGTCAACTTGGGTAATGCAGAGACCTTGTTTCAAAATAAATTTTAAACCAAATGAGGTGGTGGCAGGCCTATAATCTCAGCACTCTGGGAAGATGAGGCAGAAATATTAGTTAAAGTCCAGCCAGGGCAACTTAGCAAAATAAAAAAATGAAAAAAAGGCTGGAGATGTAACTTAGTGAGAAGGCCCTGAATTCAATCACCAGTACTGTTCCCCCTCTCCCCTCAAAAAAAGAAGAAAAATAAAACCGCTCATGGTGGAAACAGCTTAGAAGCCTTTTTATATACTAATGACATGGCAAAATCTGGGAGAAAACATAGAATTCAGTGTGTCACAAACCTGCATGGTTTCCAAAGTATGTTAGGGGGCAGATAATCTTCACAGCACACTTTGGGAAACGCTGCGCCAGGCTCTCAATTTTGAAGGACATAAGCAGTCAGGAAGACCCTTGACCTAGATCTTCACAAGTATAAAATATCTCCCAACCTCCTGTAAAGGGCAAATTTGCTACTAAAGAAAGGACCCAAAATTACAATTTGTGTTGCCTTCAAAACCCAGACTCTAGGGCTGGAGCTGTAGCTCAGTGGTAAAGCACTTGCTTAGCACACTGCAGGGCCTGGGTTTCATCCCCAGCACCACTAAACAAAAACCAGAATCTTTCCCAATCTTATATTCAGTCTATCATCATCCGCTGTGCAAGGAAAACGTAGCTTTACAATCTTTGCCCTCTGAAAAGAAACCACAAGGAAAACAAATAGCAAAAGAAGAGGCAATTTATTCTGGTTATATCACTATGGCTGCCAGTGTTTTCAACATGGTGTCTCACATCACCCAGTAAGTCGGAGAGTTCATTTCCTGGGCCCAAGTCTTTCTCCTTCCCTGACTTTGGAATTAAATCGCAGAAGGACATGAATCTGCTCAGGAGAAATGCTGTCAGAGCTGAAGCCACGTGTGATGAGGTATGAAGACTGTCTTGCTTTGCCTCAGAACTGCCAGAATCATCCCAGACTATGATCTCACTAGTTGCTAATTATGCAGCAGGAATAACAACACTGCCCAGACCGACAGAGCTGCGTTGCTGCAGAGCAGCTACCCAGAATATATACACTGTGGTGGCAAGAGATGCCTGCTAAGAGCTACTTTCAGAGGTATTTGGAGGCAATGCCGATCAGCTGTACAAAGACAACCAAACATAAAAGTATTTTAGAGAAGTTATTTCCTAATCTATCCAGATCACATCAAAATTCTGCATTCAAGTCACAAGATGTACCTAAGAAACCTCAACTATCATAAGGTCCCAGACAAACATGTTCCTCAAATAAATTGGCCTGGGAGAGGGGGAAAAATCCAGTATCTGAAAAATTAAAATTAAATTTTAAAATGTGCCCAAACTATCAGTTGTTTTTCAGGTTAAAATCTGAGGTCATATTCTGGACTTTTTAATGTTTTTAAGATACTTATAAACTACAAAATTTTTCATTCCATTCTGTAACTGGGCACAGCGGTGTAGACAGACACATTTGTGATTAAGTACTTACGTGGGTGCAATGAAAAAGCAGAATGTTGACTACTGTATTTAATCTTTCTTTTCCACTTAATATGTTATCAATCACAAAAGAAATCTGGCTGAGCTGAAAATCTGCTTTCTCTGAAAGGGCTTAGTCCCCCTTCAGTTTTAACTAAACTTTAGATAATGCTAGTACTAGATAATCGGCTCTTTCCTTGGCCTGGAAGCACTCAGGGATTTATGACTGGAAGCAAATGTACACTTCCGCTCTTTCCTCAGGTGTCTCTTTGCTTCCAGTAGTATGGGTTTCCTTTCACTATTTCTCATTAAGTCCCACATTGTTCCAAAATCACTTTTATTACTAAAATTCTCCACTGCCTTAACTAGCTGCCCTCAAGAGTATCATTTCTCTTTAGGTTATTTTCTGTGCACTAGAGTGCAGCAAGGATTTCTAGCTGCTTATTCCTGGAGTATCTCTTCCCCACTTCTAGAGGTTTCTGGACAGTGATGGAGATAGGCAAGAAAGAAAAAAAGATATGAAACCCAGGACAAAAATATCTTCCTTAAATTGTATGAGAATAATCAAAATCTAGCTTTGTAAATTATGTGCATATTGACCTATGATCTAGCTATTTCATTAAAGGGCTGAGGATGTAACACAGTATCTAGAGCACTTGCATGTGTGAGGCCCTTAGTTTGATCCCCAGCACCACAAAATTAAACAAAATACTCCATAAACTAGGATGACACTCTGGAAAATCCTCAAGCAGACTCCACAGCCCCAGCTTTCTTCATCTTACCCAGGATCTGTTGGCATAACTTTCTGACATCAACTTCATTACTTAAATTTTTTAAATTCCATCTACTGTGTCCTGACAACCAATATAGGTTTACATCTCAACCCTTTCCTTTTTTCAACTCTGTTGTGAACTTGACTTATTAGATAAAAATGTTCATGGGCACCAAGAACAAACCTTTCATCCACTTCCATAGGGCCCTGGAGAAATCTTTCTTTGCAACAGTAACAACTAGAATAGGTTCCATACTTTCAATTCACCATGTTAATCTTCTTTCAATCCAAAACTAGAAATCAGTCATTCTCACCCCTCTCAAATACTCTCTGGTAGAAGACAGATGCCTGTGTTCAAAATACATATTTATAAATTATAATATAAGCAAAAAAATTATAATACTATACTTTATATTATAATAATATAAAGCACTTAAAACTCATATGGAAATAATAAAGGTGAGACTGGAATGTATGTAGGTCATAATTGACAGTTAACTGTCAAAATGATCAACCCAAGCAACAAATGCTACTAGACAAAAAAAATGCATCCTTCTATAAAAGCTTTTAAATGCCGGTGAAATGAAAGGTCATCTGACATTCTATAGCTTCTTATCTTATGGTCTTTCCTCAAGTGTTTCTGACTAAACATTTCCCAAAGGTATATGAAGTAGTTCAGATTCACAAAATAGGGAAGACATTAAGCTAGCACCAAATAAAACCACCATGTGTATTTTAATACTCGATCTAAGTTTTTTAAGGCCTATAAAGACTCTCATAATCATCAAAACAAACCAAAAACCCTAGAATATGTAGGGTTAGCAAAAAAAGGACTTCCCAGGAAAAATTTGGTGGAAGCAGGATGTACTTTTGAAGTTTAGATAATACAAGCTCATTTCTTTTCTTTTTTCTTTTTTTTTTTTTCAGGCATGGTCTCAAGTTCAGGCTGCCCTTGAAATATGTAGTCCAGGCTGGCTTTGAACTCACGGAGATCCTCCTGGCTTAGCTTCCCAGGTGCTGAATTTACAGGCATTTACCACCACTCCTGACTAATCCTCATTCTTAAAGGAGTCCAAAATATTAAGAAGAGGTACTTCTTACAGGAGAAAGCCTTTCCACTTAAGGGGAGCCCAATCTTCTACTAAAGGACAAGGGACCTAGTAATATCAGGAGTACTAGGCTGCAAACTTGGATTAGAAGAAAGGCTTGCTGCTAAGTGTTAAGCTAAACCTAAGTAAATGGCCTGCCCTGTTTCTCCTTTTACTGTAACTGATTCTCAAATACTGCAAATTTCATGGCTCCATGCGTCCTCATGATCACCAGGATCACAAGCTTATAAAATACGCAAGTGAAGGCCAGGGATTTAGCTCAGTGGTTCCACCGCCTGCCTCACAAGCACAAGGACCCAAGTTCGATCCCTGGTACCCAAAAGTAAATAAAGTACTCAAGTGAAAACCTCCTGCAGGTGTTTAAAGGAAATCCCCTTGGTCCCACGCTCCAGTTTTTACCCATTCACTAATACAAGGTTTGAATCTGCCTTTTCCATGTCTATACTTACCCTCACAGCGAGGGCACAAGCTCCTGGGAGAAGCGGGACATGAGGCTGCACTACCTTTCAAGGATAGCCAGTCATTTAAAACTGGCACAACCTGGCTTTGGAGATTTACAGGACGGAAAACCGGTAAAGGAGGAAAAATATGAATCAACCATGGATTTACCGTCAACTGAAAACTGCTGGACAAGAAGACAGTGTTTGTCTCTTGGGAACAACTTCTAACCTTTCATACTGAAGAACGGTTTGTGTGTTACACTGCCGCTCTAAACCCTTTTAAAATGACGAATCAAGACCACAGGGATGGATGGCAGTAGGCTGCGTATTTTGGGCCTGTGCAAAAAGATAAAAGCTAGAAAGCAGGGCAAATTATGCTTTCATTTTCACACAACGCTAGAAAAATAGGAGACATTAAGAAGCAAACCTAGAGTCACGTCAAGTCACCAGTTCCCCTTAATGAACACGCCTGATGAACCCTTCAGCTCTCGACTCATTTCTGATTCCTAACCTTCCCGCTCATTCCCATCCTCTGTAGCCCCTGGTGAGCCTTTCTCATCCCTTCCAGCCTGCTACTCACAAATTCCCAACCACTCCTCCCACATTTTCCTTTATTTCCCCTCCCCTTCCTTCACTTCCCTCCATCCTACATCATTCTTCACTCCATTCCGAACCTCAATCCTCATCCGCAAGCCCGCCGGCTTCCAAGCCGCCCATCTGTCTGCCTCGAGCTGCCCCCACAGGCCGGGCCGCGTCCTCGCTGCCCCTCGCTCCCACGCCTCTTCCCGACTCCTTCCCAGCTGCGTCCTAGCTCCCCGCCCCCCGACCGCTCCCGTCCGAGCTTCCCTCTTTCTGACCCCTCCATCCGCAAGGCTCAGGGCTTGACCACTCCTCCACAGCCGCCCGAGGGCAGGTCCCGAGAAAGGACGAGGCGGCACCCTCCGCCCCGCACCCCCAGGCCCATTACCGGCCCCGCCG